AAAAAAAAAAAAAAGAATAAAAATAGGGCAAGGCCTGTGGCTCAGTGTGTAGGGTGCCAGCCCCATATACGGAGGAGGGTGGTGAGTTTGAACCCAGCCCCGGCCAAACTGCAACAAATAAATAGTCAGGCATTGTGGCGGGCACTTGTAGTTCTAGCTACTTGGGAGGCTGAGGCAAGAGAATCGCCTAAGCCCAAGAGTTTGAGGTCGCTGTGAACTGTGACACCATGGCACTCTACCAAGGGCAACAAAGTGAGACTCTGTCTCTAAAAAAAGAAAAAAAAAATACCTGGACGTTATGGAGGATGCCTGCAGTCCCAGCTAATAGGGAGGCTGAGGCAAGAGAATCACTTAAGCCCAAGAGTTAGAGAATGCTAGAGCTATGATGCCACTACACTCTACCAAAGGCGACAAAAAAAGGCAACTCTGTCTCAAAAATAAGAAAAAAGAATGTATGTTTATTGTGATTCATCCAGAATCTACTTGTAGCTGAAAGGCCTTTCATAGGATCTAGTACACTACATTGCCAGAAGGTTAAAGGTCAGGCCTTGAGGAGAATCCAGTGTGTGGTTGGGTCAAGTCCTGCTAAGTCCAGCAAGAGGCTTGGGGTTTTCCAGACTTCATCTGAGTCCAGCTCCGATGCCTTTCCTGGTCAGACAGGAGCTGGGCCAGTGGCCAAGCTATTTCCCTAGGCTGAGGCTGCCTTCCTTCCCCCTCTGCTGGGTTGCGTAGGCTCTGGTCAATACCAGGGATTAAAGATGAGGGCTCTCCCGGGAAGCCCTTGGCCCCGGAGTCATCAAAACAACATCTGGACCTGGAGGGGGTGGGGAGGTGGAGTGGAGAGACCAGCTTCCTGCTGGCTGTGGCAGGGAACTGTGTCCACCACAGCTGCCTGTTCTAAAGGTGTTCACAGCTTCTGCTTTCCAGGGCTTCCCTAAGGTGCCATAGGGATGTGGAAGGCAGGGCAACTCCAGCCTGTTCAACCCACCCGCAAAGGAATACCCATGGGGCTGTGGGAGGTGCATGATGGGGCACAAGGATCTGCTTTTAGGGGGGTGATAGAATAGTCTGGAGGGCACCGACCAGCCTGGCCAAAGGGATCAGGCCATTTAGGAAGCCAGGAGTTTGTGTGGTGAGGCCAGAAGCTGTCAGAGTGCCAGAAATAGGTTAGGGCCCTGAGGAACTAACAAAGTCTTCAGAGACTCTCAAAGTATTCTGGCCTCTCTTGTCACAAAGTTCTCTTTCTCAAGACTTCGATCCCTTGCATAGGCAGGACCCCACCTGGATAACACAAGCCTATCTCCCAAATTTTGCCCACCAGGCTCGGTGCCCGTGGCTCAAGTGGCTAAGGTGCCAGCCACATACCCCTAAGGTGGTGAGTTTGAGTCCAGCCCGGGCCCGCTAAACAATGATGGCTGCAACCCAAAAAAAAAAAAAAAAAAAAATAGCCAGGTGTTGTGGTGGGCGCCTCTGGTCCCAGCTACTTGGGAGGCAGAGGCAGGAGACTCGCTTGAGCCCAGGAGTTGGAGGTTGCTGTGAGCTGTGATGTCACAGCACTCTACCCAGGGGGACAGCTTGAGTCTCTGTCTCCAAAAAAAAAAAAATTTTGCCCACCATAGAGCCCTGGCCAGAAGCCCCCTCTTTCAGGGCCCAGTCCTGGTTCTGAGGGCACTCTGCCCCCTCCCCAGAGTTCTTCCCCCAGGCTGACGTCCAGAAGTTCCCCCTCTGCCTTGCTCCCCACTGGCCCAGGGGCCTAAACGCCATGTGGGGTCTGCTACAGACCTCCACATTGGGCAATGCAGGCTCTTCCTGAAGTAGCTGAGGACCCTGCCCCGTGAGAGGGATCCTGGGGTGTGCACATGCCCTTTTGTTCCCCATCTGGGGGCAGGAGTGTTGGTGCCACCCCACAAGTAAGGACACTGGGCTCTGCTAGGCTCCTACCCTGCCTGACCTCACTTGCTCACTCATAGACCTTTCCTAGGAGTTCTGGTGCCATAGGCACCCTTAGCAACCATGAGCAGCTCACCCCTTGGCCAGCTCTGTCGTACCAGCCTGGGCATGTGGGCTGGCCATGGATGGGTGGGCCGGTGCTGAGGGCTGGAATCCTTCTACCCCATCCTCTGATGAGGTTTTGACTGCTTCCCACCCCCTCACCCAGGGGAAATGCTCCCCATGTCCCCACCCAGGCTCCTGTCTAGGGGCTGTCTAAGCCTGCCTGGCCCTTTCCTAGGGAGGGGCGAGGGATGGTAGTCACCTCCCTTCCACAGAAAGGTGTATCAGCAGAGGGGACCAAAGCTAGGGGCCCACCCAGGAAAGGATACTATTCAGCATTCTGGGCACCTGTCTCTCTGGCTCCCACCTCACCCCTTAGTGCAGTCTCTGGCCACTTGGTTGGTGTCCCCTAAGGATGGACCTCAGCCCAGCCCTTTTAGGGCCTGCCTGGGAGGCACCACCCTGTGGCCTGGGGCCTGCATTGTCTCCGCCGCCCAGACCCCCTCCAGTCCTTACACGCCACCACCAGCCCCCCCCCACCCCAGGTCTTGGCTCTTGATGTCCCTCTGCCTGGGGATAGCAGTAGCGCCTGCATTCCCCCTCGTCTCACGGGTCCCTGTCCTACTCAGGGTAAAAGTAGAGGCGCATCTTTGCTAGCAGGACCACTGCCCAGCCCCCTCCTAGCCTGGTAGTGCTGGAGGGTGAGGACTCTGCCCTTAGCTGGGGTCAAGGGTAGAGTGGGAGGCACCAGGAGCTGCCCTTTTCCCTGGGGTCAAACATGACCATAGTCAGCCAGAGACAAAAGGCCCTTCTTCTCTGCAAAAGGCTGGATTGGGGGAGGAGGGAGGATTCCTGCAAACTGGGTGGGGGCATGAGCAGGGCCTGGCTGGGAGCAGTGTCCTTGGGTTTCCTGGAACCCTCCCCCACCTGCCTGCAGACAGACAAGCAGTCCAGGAAGTGAGGTGCAGGGACACCCAGACATGGGCCAAGGCTGTGGGGGGCAGGGCAGCAGTAGCCACAAAGGGCCACTTCCTCTTTTAGGGTCCCCCAAATGCCAGGATGAGGTAGGGGCTGTGCCTAGGGGGGCAGGGACTGTGCTTGGGGGGGGTGAGCAGAGGGCTGAGCTATCCTTGCTCTGGGGACCTCTCTGCCCTCCTTGTCCTGGGCCTGTCTCCCTTCAGAAGAGGCTTCTGGACCATTACATTTGTGCTTCCACAGGCGTCTACCTCAAACCCAGCCCCAGCCCTGACCACTACACCCTTGGCTGACCCCACACTACCTGCGACCTTCTGCCTACCATGTCTCTTCTCTGGGAGCAAGGATCCTGGTGGGGAGAATGAGTCTTGCTGTGCTGCTAGAAACAGGGGTGGAGTAGATGGGGAGGGTCTCTAAGAAAGCAGCAGGAGGGACTCTGAGCTCCAGAACAGGAGCAGGTGGCAAGATGGCCAGCTCTGGGTAGAGGCTGGGTCTCCTGCTGTTCCTTTCCTGATGGCCAGGCTGGAGGGAGGAGGGTGGATGCTTCCTCAAAGGCCTGAGTCACCGCCAAGAAGACCCACTCACTTTTTCCAGAAGTGACGGAAACTTCCGCATCAGCTCAGAAGGCTGAGGTGTGACTGTGGGTGCTGGGGGGCAGGAGTGGTGGGGTGAGCAGCTCTGCCCCGTGGCCCAGCTCCCTGAACTATTTCCCTGGGCATGCCTTCCACAGTCCTGGCCAGCACCCCACTGGACCCCAGGCCCCCCAGCTGCTGCCACCTGGTGTGCTGGGGGGCCAGGGGCCAGGTGAGGCCCTCCGGGTGGCACACCTTGGACTTGGGGGGTCCATGCCCACTGCTTCTCCACTGGGCCAGCCAGTTTCTGGTCCCAGCTGAGGCCTGAGGTTTGTGGAGTGGAGCCAGCACTGCCACTGCCAAGATTCCCGGCAAGGGGGGTGGGGGACCGGGCAGGCGGCGGGGACACAGTTCTTGCTTGTTCCTGCCGCCAGCTCCTCCAGCTTAGCTTCCTTTTTTAGGCAAAGTTGAGCTCCAGCCACACTCAGGGCCCCACAGTGTCTCACCTGCCAGAAAGGGAGGAAGGAAAACCATTGAGTCCGTCATTCCTCCCTGCTGAGCATCCTCTAGAACAGGGTGGGAAGGACATCCTGGAAACAATCCTGCCCCCACGCGTGCGCACCCCCATCTCAGGGCTGAGGAAGGGCTGGGAGAGGTGATGGCTATTCTGGAAGGCATCTTAGGAGGCAGGGCTAGGCTCTCCTGAATCTCATCTAAGGGAGGTTAGCATGCCCCTGGGGTCCCCCTTCTCTAGTTGGGGCCTGGCTAAGCTCCTAGGCCCATGAGCCCTGGCTTGTCAACTGTGTCCCCATTGCCCACTGAGTCCCCTACCCCTCTTGTACAAAACAACAATAGGACCCAAGAGGCCCCACTCAACAGGCCTGACCAACTGTTTCCCACTTCCTCCCAGAAGTCCAGCTGGGTAGGGATCTGTACCCCTAAGAAGCTTTCCCTCAAGTTCTTCAGTCTTCTGTCCCCTCCAAGGTGCTGTCTCCTTTCTAAGTTCAACCCTAAGGCCCTTCCAATCCCTGTGGATGAGTCCTTCAGGACCCATGTCCAGTTCCCCAGACACCTTCTCCTCTTCCAGCCCAGGGCTGAGGTGCAGCCAGGGCCTGTGCTTTGAAATTTGGGTTCTTTTAGGCCTGGCTTCAGGGATGCTCAGGAACATTGGGTTGGGGGGTGGGGGGAGAGAGGGAGAGGGAGAGGGGGAGAGAGAGAGAGAGAGACTTGAGGTCACATGACTCCCTGCTGGCTCCCAAGGACTGGGATGTGTGGGAGAAGGCCACAGGAACAGAGACGGCAGAACCCAGACGCAGGGGTGGGGAACGTGTGGCCTTGGGGCCACATATGGCCATCTGGATCCTTGAGTGTGACCTTTTGACTGAATCCAAATTTTATAAAACAAATGGATTTGCTCTGTGAAGTTTGGTTTTGGTCCTGGGGACCTCTTGGGAACCTAGAGGGTCACGTGTGTCCTTGAGGTCGCAGGTTCCCCACCCTGCCCAGAGCCTTGCAGCTAGGAAAAGGGAGACCCTAGCGCGTGTTGTGTATGGATGCCCACGGTGCGTGCCTTGGTCGTATCAGCACTGCTAGGTGTCCCTGGGCGTCTGAGTCCACTCGTGTGGTTTCCCCAGCAGCATCTGTGCTCAGCTTGCGCGGGCACTCGGGGCCGGGGCGGGGCCTCCCGGGGGCGGGGCCGGCGAAACCCGCGCGGCGGCGCGCCTCGCACCCCAGGAGTGAGAGAGCAGCGAGCCGCGGCCGAGCGCGCCAGGTCTCGTCGCGCGCGATGCTCCTCTGGACGGCGCTCGGCCTGGCCCTGAGCCTACGGCTGGCGCTGGCGCGGAGCGGCGTGGAGCGCGGTGAGTGCGGCGGGCAGCCGGACCGGGCGTCTCGCTCCTGGCACACCCCCCGCCTCCGCTGCCCGTGCGGAGCTGGCTCTGCTTCTGCGGCCCCGGGGCGGGTGGGTGAGGAGGCTGCGGGAGCTGGGACGCAGGCAGAGCACCCCACCCACCCGCAGTAGGCGCGCCCAGGTGCTCTGGCGCTACCACAGAGGCCACTGTCTACGCTTCCACCGGCATCTACGCGGGGCCTAGACAGAGGCAGATGTCTGCCAAATGGTGCCGCCCCTGCCTCAGTTTCCTCACCCTTGGAATTGCCCTTAGTAGTGGGAGGTAGGCAAGTTGGAATCACCCCACCGCAAATGGAGAACCTCAAGGTCGGGTCCCGAATGGAGACACCCTGAGCCGGCCTGTGGTGGTGGGGCCCATCTGCTTTTCCCCATCCCCACAGGGTGCCGGGAGGAAGGGGGAGGCCCAGAAGGGGTTGGTTGGCCCTCAGGCTGCCGGGAGTGTATCCTGCTTTCTGGGTCCAGATGGAGCAGAGGATGGGACCTTGCAGGGTGACATCATCTCTAAGTGGGATCAGACTCTAGCCTGGCCATCTGGGCTGGGGGGCTGTGTTCAATGCTCTGCCTTGCCTGTTCCCCAACGTCTGCTCCACCCGACCCCTGCTGTTGTGTGCATGTCCAGGGCCAACTGCCTCAACTGGAGGCTGAGCTGCAGGGCTGAACTCTAGCCTCAAAGCTAGTTTTCTAAAAGAAAGCCTGAGCCCTTAGCACTTCGGAAGGCTGAGGGGGAGTGGATCCATTGAGCTCAGAGACCAGCCTGAGCAAGAGCCATACCCCATCTCTACAAAAAATAGAAAAGCGTGGCTTGGCGCCTGTGGCTCAGCCACATACACCTGACCTGGTGGGTTCGAATCCAGCTCAGGCCCTCCAAACAACAATGATGGCTGCAACCAAAAAATAGTCCGGTGTTGTGGCAGGCGCTGGTAGTCGCAGCTACTTGGGAGGCTGAAGCAGGAGAATCGCTTGAGCCCAGGAGTTGGAGGTTGCTGTGAGCTGTGATTTCACAGCACTCTACCGAGGGCGACAGCTTGAGGCTCTGCCTCAAAAAAAAAAAAAAAAAAAAAAAAAGAAAAGCGAGTCAGGCATTGTGGAGGCCACCTGTAGTCCCAGCTACTTGGAAGGCTGAGGCAAGAGGATTGCTTGAGCCCAAGAATTTGAGGTTGCTATGAGTTATGATGCCATGGCACTCTACCCAGGATGACAGAGTGAGACTCTGTCTCTAAATACATACATACATACATACATACATAAAGGTAAAGCTTAAAGGGAGCAGTCCCAGAGCTTAGGTCAGTCCTGGGGGTTCTGGTCCAGGACTGTTGGATCCATCTGCATGCCAAGCTGCTGAGGAAAGGGATGGTATCAGGGCTTGGACTGGTCAGCTCTCCTTTACAAATAGGACACTAGCCCAGAGAGTGCCTTAGGTCACATGGCCAGTGTGCACAGCTGGAATGCACCAAGAGGAGGGGCCTCTTGCTTGTCTCAGAATCCCCTTGCTCCCTTGGACCCAGGATCTTCAGGAGAGGGCAAGCACCTGCCAAGGGAATAGCAGCCTGTGGGGGCCTGTTCCCTGGTGTGGAGCTGTCTAGGGGCAGGGCTGTGCTCTGGGTGTGGGGCTGTCTAGGGGAGCCCTCCACCTGGGGCTGAACAGTCATCCTTTCCCCCCAGGTCCCTCAGCATCAGCCCCCCAGGGGGACCTGCTGTTTCTTCTGGATAGCTCGGCTAGTGTGTCTCACTACGAGTTCTCCCGGGTTCGGGAATTTGTGGGGCAGCTGGTGGCTCCAATGCCCCTGGGCCCTGGGGCCCTTCGTGCAAGCCTGGTGCATGTGAGCAGCCAGCCATACACTGAGTTCCCCTTCGGCCACCACAGCTCAGGCAAGGCTGTCCAGGATTCGATACGCATTGCAGCCCAGCGAATGGGTGACACCAACACTGGCCTGGCACTGGCATATGCCAAGGAGCAGCTGTTTGATGAAGCAGCAGGTGCCCAGCCAGGGGTGCCCAAGGTGCTTGTGTGGGTGACAGACGGTGGCTCCAGTGACCCCATAGGGCCCCCCATGCAGGAGCTTAAGGACATGGGTGTCACTGTCTTCATCGTCAGCACTGGTCGTGGCAACCTCCTGGAGTTGTTGGCTGCTGCCTCAGCCCCTGCCAAGAAGCACCTGCACTTTGTGGATGTGGATGACCTGCACATCATCGTCCAAGAACTGAGGGACTCCATTCTCGGTAGGTGGGAGGAGGCAGGCCCAGAGGGAAGCCTTAGCTGGCAGTGGCAGGAGGAGAGGCTGGGTGAGGACTCAGGAGGAATTCATGTGTCTGAAGTAGTGGCTTGGGGTGTGTGGACTGTGGTACCCTATGGGTGCAGTGGGAGGTTAGATATACACAGCTTCTCTGTGTGTCATCCAGGGACACTCCAGCCAGGTACCCTGCCTGGGCTGTGGAGAGGCAGAAGGGCAAGCTTCCTCTTGATGGAGCCAGCCTAGGCCTGGAAGCCTGTGGTGCAGGGATCCTGGGGTGGCTGAGGGACTGAGGAGCCATAGCTAGTGGGATGGGCTAAGTAGAGAGGATGGGCAGAGTCTAAGACAGGGGATTCTGCTGAGTGGTAGCTTGTGGTCTTGTGCATTTCTGGGGTATACTGCCTCACCTGGCCCTCTATACCTGGAGAGGGGACAGTCAGGAGGTTGGGCTCTCCTCCCACAAAGCACCAAGCACTGAGGGGTCTCAGCTGGTTTGCACTGCTGGCTCAGGTGCCTGCTATAACCAGTGAGAAAAGCCACCCTTGGTAAGCCAGGGTTCTTACCAAGGTTCCTCCTGTGAGCTAATCATCCACTCTGAACCTGAAGGAGTTGGATTGTGGGCTGGAGGGTCCCCCCAAAACATCTGTCCCCGAGTAGCTCCTGAGTCAGCCAAGGCAGCTGAATCTGGAGGGGACAGAGGAGAAAAGGCTGCTTTAAGCAGCTGGACAGGAAAAGCTGTAGGGCAGAGGAGCCAGGCAGTGGGGGAGGGGGCCGGTCTGTGGGGGATGGGCAGGAAAATGACCCAGGCACCAAGCTGTACAGGAGGAAGTGTCAGGATTAACCCAAGTGTCAGGTTTAACCCTGCCTGGACATTTATTAGCTTTCCCACTGGACAGTCACATAGACATGAGGTACCTGATGCCCCAGGCTCAGGGGTCCCCACCCTAAAGTCCTCCACACTACACTTTTCTGGTGACTCAAGCAGGCAGCACTTCCTGACCCCTAGGTACGGCTGTACCTGGAGTTGTCACACCTCCATTGCCACTGCCACCGCCACCCCGCTCCTCCTGTAGTCTGCTGACTCTTGACTTCGCCCTTGGAGACCCCAGTGATCCCAGAGTCTATGCTGGCCACTTGGACTGGGGGTCCTGTGGGCTTTGCCACCATTGAGAGACCTTGACCAAGGTGGGGGATGGCCACTGTATCAGCTCCATGGACCTGATTTGGGACTGAGGAAGGTTGAGATCTTGATAGGGCCTCAGTGGGAACGGAGGTGTGACCTGTACCAATCTGTCCCCAGACCCCTTCATTAACCCCCCCACACCATTTTGCATATCATCACTAACCTCCCTGGACCAGGCAGGGCCCCACCCTCGGGTGGAGGAGAAGCTGACTTGGGTCCCCTGACCCCTGCATCTTCCCCTCCAGAGGCAATGCAGACACAGCAGCTCCGCGCCTGTGAGGTTAAGTCTCACAGCTTCCGCCTGGCCTGGCCACCCCTGCTGACTGCCGACTCCGGCTACTACGTGCTGGAGCTGCTGCCCCGGACCAGGCTGGGGGCCAGGAGACGCCAGCACCTGCTGGGGAACGCCACCGACTGGACTTGGGCGGGCCTCGACCCTGACACCGAGTACGACGTGGCGCTGGTGCCCGAGTCCAATGTGCACCTCCTGAGTCCCCAGCACCTGCGAGTGCGCACGCGGCCGACCAAGGCGCCCCCCGCCGCGTTCTCGGCGCCCGCAGTCCCCGAGGAGGCCGGCCCAGCGCGCATCGTCATTTCGCATGCCCGGCCGCGCAGCCTGCGGGTGAGCTGGGCCCCAACGCTGAGCGCTTCTGTAGCGCTGGGCTACCACGTGCAATTCGGGCCGCTGAGGGGCGAGACCGTTCAGCGCGTGGAGGTGCCCGCGGGCCACAACAGCACCACGCTGCAGGGCCTGGCGCCGGGCACCGCCTACCTGGTGACCGTGACAGCCGCCTTTCGCTCGGGCCGCGAGAGCGCGCTGTCGGCCAAGGCCTGCACACCCGAAGGCCCAGGCCCTCGTCCCCTGCAGCGGGCCACCCAGGCCCAGGGGCCGTGAGCCGTGCGCGCCCGCGCCGCCGAGGGGGTCAGAGCCGAAGCCAATGTTTTGCCAAGGGGAAACGGGGTGTTGGCCCTTCCTTTACCCCACCGGCAGTGCAAGTGGCTGCCCAGTCCTCCTCTCTGGCAGTGGTGTGTGCAGTGGTTGTCCTTCCTCCATGCCCAGAGCCGAGGAGCAACTAGCAACGGTGTGGACCTTTGGGCAGAATTTAAGGGAGATGAACAGGGAGACTGGGGGCGGGCCAAGAACAGTAGACCTGGACTAGCCCATTGGTGGCCAGACCTCCCACTGTGTGAAGGGCCCTGCTCTCTGGTGGCATGGGCTGGAGGGAGTTTGGTCTAGCTGGCCACTCAGGTCCTGGATATTGGTAGAAAGGGGCAGGGTTGGTCCCCAAAGGCTGCCTGAGGGAAAGAAAGGGCAGAGAAGGTGCCAGGTGTTCTTTACCAGGATGCCTGCTGGCTGGGGACTGTGGCCCTGCCTTCCTGCTTAGGACCCCAGCTGAGAGGAGCAGGACTAGACCCTGAGGACAGGAGACCCCAACACTCCTCTGCCCCAGGGGTCTGTGGGGAAACAGAGACAAAGTCCCCCAGGGTGGGCTCCCCAGTAGCTCTGCAGTATCCAGCACTTGTCTACCACTCACTGCCCTGGGTCATCAGGCAAGTTGCCAAGGGCAGGGTGCTTGGGTGTCCCCCGGCCCCCATCTGTTACCAGAATTGCCTGCATCACTTAATGCTCACATCACCTCTCTTCCCCACTAACATCCCAGACTTTAAAATTTAGTAAATCAGATGTAAACTGAGGCTGCAGTCTTATTAGAATGCCTAGCCCCTTGTTACCAGCTGTGGATAGGGCAACTTGTAGAAGATCGCATGTGCAGAATCCATGCTGTATCTGGGGAGAGAAGGGGTACAGTAACCCTCTGAGCATCCAGACACTGACCATCAGACTTCTGTGGTCCCTCTGCACCTTTGGAGAGCACCGTCTGTGGGCCAAAACCCTGAGCTATGGACTGGGTAGGTTGCTGGGATGCAGAGGACAGAGGTTCCACTCTCCCTGCAGGGCAGTCTCCACCACAGCCTTGGGTAGGTTGCCCTCTGCCCAGCCCATGAGGACACCCTCAGTGGCGAGGCCCTTTGCTAAGGGGAAACAGCTCCTGAACCTGAGGAGCTGTGGGATGGAGGGGTGGCTGCTAGGACTGACTTCCTGTTCTCAGCCTGCCTGCTCGGGCCTTCATGAAAGCCAAGAACCTGACTTGAAGCATCACATAACTCCTGCTGGACTCCCAAGACTTCACTGTCCACTTGCTGGGTATGTTTGTCACAAGGGTTAGGGTTTGCCATTGTGTGTGTGCACACAAGACAGGCCACCTGCCTTGCCTGTGTGAGCAGGATTATGGGAGGCACTGCTGGGGGCATTGGGTTCCCCCTCTGAACTCCTCTGAGAGTTGGGCCCAGGGGAACCTGAATGAGGTCCAGCTGTGTGCAGTGTGCTCACACCCACGCCCCTGGTTAGCAGATGTTGCCCCTGAAAGGAAGAATCCTCTCTGTGCAGCCCAGGTCCCACTCCACTTTCCAGAGTGACTGCGGGTTTGAGCCTATTGGCACCCCAAAAGGAAGGTCCCCCTTCCTTGCTGAGCCTAGGTCCAGCTCACAGAGCAGCAGATGAGAGCCAGGGGCTATCTCCTATCCGTCATTGGTGGCTTCCATGGATGGCTGAGTCAAACTCCCATGAGAAGCTTTTATGAGCTTCTCCCCCTAAAAGTGCCTACAGTCCTGAGAGGGCAGAGCAGGTCCTCCTGCCCTCCATAGTCCTGTCAGGCAGAGGCTCCTCTCTGGATGCTGAGGCCCAACACCGGCCATTCTCTGCTGGTAGGAGCTAAGAGGAGCCCCTAATCTTATCTCCATACCAAGGGATGTCTCTTCCAGAAGCCTCATCTGGGAAGTGCTCTGCCCTTCATTGTCCTAAGTCTTTTTAAAAATTCTTTTGCCTGGGTTCGGCGCCTGTGGCTCAAGAGGCTAAGGTGCCAGCCACATACACCTAAGCTGGGCGGGTTTGAATCCAGCCCGACCGCCAAACAACAATGATGGCTGCAACCAATAAATAGCTGGGTGTTGTGGCGGGTGCCTGTAGTCCCAGCTACTTGGGAGGCAGAGGCAGGAGAATCGCTTGAGCCC